GTACAAAAAATCAAATTTCTCTGTATCCTGGAAAAAATATCCTTTTGATAGGAGTGAATTCTTTTTCTTTGTACTTTGAAAGTTAAAAACCAGCTTCTGGGGAGGAAGATATTTAATGCAGAAATTTATTGAATGTATTAATGTCATACAACATGAAATACATGATATTATTGTGTCATGGTATTTTTTATATTTTACTACAATATATTGATGCTGTGTTATAAATATATGTAATATATGTTCTTATAGTATATTGGTGTTATAAATATAATATACGCCATATGTGATATTTATATGCTACTTATAATTTATACTTTCATGATGCCTGAAATTATAGTTAAAATTAGACCATATTACATATTGAAATGAATATCTTTCAGGACAAAGCAAAGATAAATTCTGGCAATAAATACAATGACAACTTTTTTGGATTGTACTGCATTTGCAAGAGACCTTATCCTGATCCTGAAGATGAGGTAAGGCAGTTGGAGGTTAATTAGAGGTTAATACCTCTAGCCTTCACTCCTTAGCCTGTTGTCCAATCTGGGCCTTTATAGCTGTTCAGAAGGGATTTGGGGATTGCGAGAGGATTCTAGGTTTATCCTTTCTTAGGAGTGTGGGCTGGAGCTGTAACTGGTACAGATCTTGAGTGTTCTTCTCATTCTACATTACAAGAATGAAATATTGGGCAGGACATTCTCAAGGCCAGTGCTTTCGTCCTTCCTCTCTCTCTCGTTGCCTGCCTGCTCCACTGCCAAGCACTCTCCAAACAATGACTTTCAACTTCTTGCCTCCATGGAAGAAAAGAAACGGGGTGTACAGACTGGATCCTCAATTAGAAGTATACACAAAATTAAAAAAAAAAAGTATACACAGAATTTAAAAAGAATTTTTCTTCCTCATTCCATCGTACTTCCCAGATATAACCACTGTTAACACTTTTTGGTGTATATGTTTTTAGACCTGTTTCAGTCCCAACATAAGTGATGTGTGTTTCAATTTGTAGTTTCCTTTTGACAAAAGTGAAAATTCCATATGTTCACTTTTGCAACTTGCTTTTCTCACTTCTCAGTATATCATAGACTTCTTTCCATGCTACATAGCACACATCCACCTTGTTCTGATCACAGCCAAGTACTCATAATTTGACATGCTATAAGTTAGTTACCTAAATGTTCTGTAGCAGACTGGTCCGATCTCTTTTTTCAGTATTCTAAAGAAAGCTACAGTGGACATCCTTATACAGTAATTTGATTCAGTAATATTCCTGCAAGAATTTATGGATACTTAGAGGTAGAACTGATGAGACATAGGATATTTATATTTAAGATTGTGTTGGGGCACCTGGGTGGCTCAGTCGGTTGAGCATCCGACTCTGGCTCAGGTCGTGATCTCATAGTTCATGAGTTTGAGCCCCACCTTGGGCTCTGTGCTGACAGCTCAGAGCCTGGAGCCTGTTTCAGATTCTGTGTCTCGCCCCTCTCTCTGTCCCTCCCCCACTCATACTTTGTCTCTCTTTCTCAAAAATAAATAAACATTAAAAAGAAAATGCTTAAAAAAAATAAAATTGTGATCACCTCTGTCAAAAGAGTTCAGTCACCAACAGTAGGTGATAGTGGTTTTTTTCCCCAATACTCTGTCAGCCCTACATACTACCAGTCTTTTTAAGTTTTGCCATCTTGATAGATGAAGAGGTGTATCTTTTTTCTTTTCCCTGATCATGAATGAGAGTATGCATCTTTCATGAGTTTATTGAACATTTGTAATAACCTATCTGAATTGTCCTTTCATATCCTTGGCCCATATTTTGACTGGGTTGGATTTTGTTGTGTATTTACTGATTTGAAGGAGTGCTTTATGTTTAGAAAAATTAGCCTTCTGCCTTCTTCCTTGCTTTCTAGTTGTCTTGGAACTGTAATTATTGAACCAAATTATATAGAGGAACAAGTTGAAGATATCTTTGAGTTAACAAAGATAAAACCTTAAAACTGGATATTTTAAGGTATGGGGTAAAGTGTTATAACACTGTTAAATCAAAAGACAAAAAATAAGATGCCAAATAAATTGATCAAGGTAGAAGAAAGAATAAAACTGCTTTATATATATGTATATTTGATATCTGTGTGTGTTTATCTGTATTGACATATATATAGGCATATATGCTTTTTTCCCCCTTTGAGAAGTTATAATAGGGAAAGGACAGAACAACATTGGGATATTAATCAGTAGGTATGAAAGTCTGGGAATGAAAGGAAAATCATTCCAAAAACAGTCTGTGCCCTATGGTATGTCATTTTCCTAGGGCCAGAATCTAATTTCTTAACTAATTCAAATTAGGGAAGTTGTTGCTGTCCATATTAGCAAGAGACTGTTTATAATATTTACTTTTCAGTTTAAGTAAAGTGAAGGGCTTGAAGAATGTGGGGTTGCCACATTCTACATTGGTCAATCCATCTCACCTTCCTGGGTCTTGGTTTTCACATAAAATGAGATGTTATAAAGTCTTGTGAGAGTCAGGTGCCAAGTAACCAAAGTGGACCAGCTTTGACGGTTGTTTCCAAAGTGCTCATCTCAGTGTAACCTTTCGGCAACATCAGTTCGTGTTGAGTGAACTTCTTTGGTCCTGTGACCCGCTATTTCTCCCTGGCCCCTTGACTGTTGGCATGTGCATAGCCGTCTCACAGAATCGGTATAGAGAATTTAATATATAGTTCTTCTGTTTGCTGGATTTACTTCCGTGTCCCAGAATTCATTGTAATCATTAACATACAAACTGCTTTTCCGTGTTAGATTCCGGATGAGATGATCCAGTGTGTAGTCTGTGAAGACTGGTTCCATGGAAGGGTAAGGAAAGCTTTTTACATTGTTGTTTTTTTTAATTTTTAAAAATGCTTGGTTTTTTGAGAGAGAGAAGGCATGCACGCACATACACATGCATGGAGGAAGGAAGGGCAGAGACAGACGGAGAGAGAGAATCCCAAGCAGGCTGCATGCTCAGCACTGAGTCCGACTCAGGGCTCAATCTCATGACCGAAAGATCATGACCTATAAGATCGTGATCTATATCGAGTTGGACATTTAACTGAGTGAGCTACCCAGGCGCCCCAGCTTTTACCTTTTAAAAGGTATTGTCTGTACAGAAAGAAAAAAGATCTCTTCTTGCTTCTTTTTGGATTGTGTTATATTTTACATTATAATTACTCTTCTAAAAAGAAATTGTAAAGATACTATCAGTGTTCTGTTGCAATATTTGTTTATTAAATAGCATTTTGGACAACTTGGAGACTACAAGGAAAATAGTGGGTTTTCTGTATTCACAGCATCTTGGTGCCATCCCCCCCGAGAGCGGGGATTTCCAGGAGATGGTGTGCCCGGCTTGTATGAAGCGCTGCCCCTTCTTGTGGGCTTATGCTGCACAATTGGCAGGTGGGTGTCTTGTGGAGTTGGTGTGCCACAGTCTCGTACTTGTGAAATTTCTCTGTTCAGTCCAGAATTTTTAGCAACTGTTTTTGACTGGACTTCAAGGTGTAGAAAAAGTGTAAGATAACATACCTTCTCCACACGGTGCTTATAGAATGGTTGGGAGACTACCAAGAACAAATCTATGCTTAAATAACATGAGGCAGAGGCTGGATGAGACCAGAGTTAGGGAAAATGGAGGCAGTTTTTGAATGGGACTTTGAAAGATAAATAAAACCAGAATAAGTTGTTCTTTTTTTAATGTTTGTTTGTTTTTGAGAGAGACAGAGCACAAGCAGGGGAGGGTCAGAAAGAGAGAGGGAGACACAGAATATGAAACAGGGTCCAGGCTCTGAGCTGTCAGCACAGAGCCTGATGCGGGGCTCGAACTTAGGAACAGCAACATCATGACCTGAGGCGAGGTCAGATGCTTAACCGACTGAGCTATCCAGGCTCCC